TGTATGTCGGTAAGTTAGTGCGCTTCATGAGACCATAAACAGTTCCCATTGCGACTGTACGTATAGTCCTCCTTTAGAGGCATGGGCGGAGATGGTTCATCACTCTGCTTTTCACTTTCCTTACCGGCGCTCGTCTCCCGACGAGACGAGTAGGACGAGTGTGCCAGGTAGGAAGGCTCAATAAGAGGCCATCTCTGTCCACAACGGTAGACCGTTTCCGCCCCTATGGTCGATGTGGACTTTGCCCTCAAGTGATTAATGTAAAACACGGGCTCAATAAAAACACCGATACCTCCCATACAACTGGGCTTTCAGAGGGGTCTGACTCATCGAGAACCCACTGAGGCTCTGTGAGGGCATATATGTGCTCAGAATCTCTGGTAGAGAATGTAGCTGAACGAAGAGCTGTTGTCTCTCCTTGGAAGTTTTTCAAACTTAGACATTTTGTTGAAAAGCTCACAGAGTATCTGGCATAGTTATCCCTCTTAGTGGTCCCTTAATGTGCCAGAAACATAGGAGTAACTCAGAAAAAGCACTTACTTTCACGTTTTTGCTGACCAATGTGGCGTACTGTTGATAATCTGGTTTTCTGGGTAGTTTGTCGAGACAGAACACAATGAGAGAATTCTCGTACACCTTATCAGAATTGGCAACACTCTGAAAACAACGAAAACCGATTACAATCTCCTTGTCCTATTGAGGCCTAAGCTAATAAACCCCATCCAGTTGTTGAGAGCTTTGGACTTGGGAGCTGTCACACCGCTGAGCGTAAGAGGTCTCTGGGATCGCCTTGACCTTTTAGATGGCTGACCCTCAAAATGTCTCCTTCTGCCCAACACTGTCGCCAACTTCAACGGCACCTTCCTAGATAGCATTGGTGAGGAGAGTGAAGCACTGCGCCCGGTGTGCAGCATTGGGACGGGAGGGTGGTGTTAGACGCCCCCCTCCCCTCTCTCAAATCTCTCCAAATGTCCTACTGTAAAGGTTACGCAGTATGAAGGATGGCGATCTCCCTTCCTTCATCACTTCATCGCGCTAGATGTTTCGGCCAGCTACTACCACTACTCACGTTCCCAGTTTTCCAGAAATTCAAGCTTTCAACCCTAAAAACTAGCCAATAGGGGAAGAACAACTCACATGGCTTTGAACTGTCCGAAAATAGGCTGTTGTATGTGAAGTTTTGAACTTCCGTATTACTGCCATCTAGAGGAGGGGGGTGGGGAACAGAACGGAATATTTGTTTTAAGATCCTAATTACGTACCTCACGAACCAAATACTGACCCTCACCCAGCGACCAAAGGTAACGTCCTCTAATGGGCCGAGGGATTCATTCCGTACGAACGCGTACCCTGACAGCCCATCTCATTAGGTGGGCCCCCTCCCTCTAAGTGAGTAAGGAGCAGAGAGTGCTTCAAGGGAACACATGGCTGCTTGTCACCGCGTATCCGGCCAGCGCTAAATGTTAATTTAGGCCTATTTTTCCAAAGCGTTGTGGATCGGCTGCATCTCAGTCCTTCAGCATCTGTACGTAGAGTTCCAAATATTTTTTTTTTCGATAGCAGATACCTTTTGCGCTTTCCTTCAGAAAGTAGCCCATCGCAGTGTTAGCCATTTTTTAAATGTTGCCCTTTTTTGTGAGCATCTTTGCGGCTTCAGTGATTATCACATCTCCATCAGAAATTATTTCCGAGCAGCTTTCCCTCTCTTCTCTGGTCCCTCGACACTATAGCAGAAGCCACAGCCCTTTTCAGTCCCTCTCGATAATCTAATTCAAAAACCAATCTTGATAAACGACATGGACGTAACCATCTGATCGTATGGGCGGAGTAGCAAACCACTAGCCTCTGCTATTGTGCCGCCATCTTCCATAATAGAGGGAGGACGCCAGTGAGAAGTTTGACGCTTGGTGTTTTGGGATGGGCCACAGTCCGGCTCTGCACGTCATGCCTGCTCGTTTGTACCCTCTTACAGAGACAGCGTGAAGTGTCGCAACATAACCTAGCCGGCGTCAGGACATGCCACCTTCTTACTTTACCCTCTCTTCTGGGCTACAGGACATGGCTTAGAACATGACGTCGCTGAAGACAAGGAAGGCTATGTGCCTCAGGGAGGGGGGAGGGATGCAAGAGCGGCGCTTCCCGCGGCACACAACCTCTAGAAAGGTTTAATGGCTAAGTTGGCTCTGCTATATTGGGCTGTGTATTCGAGAAAATTTAGCGATAGAGGTTCCTACTGGGATGGCGCTAGGACTTCTAGTATGACAAACGTACCGTCAGGGCTTTCAGAACTTGTGAATCTGAACTCATTGGGGTTCCAGGTATAGCTCCATAACCATAATCGTTATAAACGGCGCTACGGAAACTCCTAAAAAGGCAGTGAATTTCAAAAAACGTAATGGTAACTATGGTAGCGTAGAAAGTGAACTCACGAAATGTTCTTCTCAGGATGATAAACAACGGCTGTTTCATTGAGCACCTCAAACCTCACTACACCAAAGTATCCAAACGTGTTCATCAAATTGTTCGATGTAGTCACAGAGAAGACCTGAAGCAGAATTGACAATTTTAAAATTCTTGTGGATGTTCGGCTTGGAGGGGCATTTTTTGGCCTTCCTCGATTACTACCTATGTCTCCTGTGGAGACCTGTGAATCTCTGTGAAGCTATGCTGTAGCAAGAGGAGTTACAGTACAGTTGACAGGAGTTTGCAGGTCTCAGCAAGGTAAGACATGTGATTCAACAGAAACTAAAAAAAGAGACTAGCGTAAACGCGAAACGGAATAGAGACCAGACAGCGGAAGGGAGAGCCCACAGTTGGACACACCATAAGGCGCGCACTTGTGGGCGTGTATGTCTGGAGTGGGCGGAGACAACGTGATATCGCAGTCTTTTGGTGTCTCTGCCACCCACTTTGAAATGGAGGAAGTGGTACACCCTCTATGGTTGTGGAGATGCCCACGTTGAGAATTAACCCCTTATGCTCCAGCTAGTCGCGGAATGTACCTTAGGGCGATGTGTTAGTCGTACGGAATCAGACAGTACCACCTGGAGTTCCATTTTCAGTACGAAGACAGAAAGAGTAGAAATCGTTCTCCTACATGGTTATCCGTAAGGCTGGTGTAATCAGATACTGAAACATCTGCTGGTAGTTCCGATAGTAATTAGAGAAACATTGAAGAACACACCTCATAGAGATCAGACGGCATAGTATTGGCGAAACCATAGGCAAAAGTAACCGGATTGTCGACAGGGAAGTTGACAGGACTGAAATAGTTCAGAAAAAAAAACTGCTAAATATATCCAAAAACGCTGGTTGAATATGACTGATTCGAAGTTGGCTAACCCTGTTCCCTGGGTTCCCTTAAAAGCACAGTCCGCGGTGATCGTAAAGGCGGAGCTTACTGTTGTGGACTTCGCCACCAGCATGCCACTGATTCTTACCGTCACGGCAGGAGACGCGCATCAACGATAAGGACACAAATGGTTGACTGTTTCCGCCCATATGATCAACATGGACTTTGCCCGTTAAAAGAAACATTATCTATAGGAACCTAGCCAATCTAATCAAAGGAGTAGAATCGAGTTTTAGGCGACCGATTGGCCTTTGATGAATCCATTTTATAGGTCGTATTTGGACCTTTTAGCCATCTTTTGAACCCATAACCAGGGTTGGTGATGACCGATTTTCAGTTTGTGCATGTTTAAAAGGACCCTCCCTTCCCAGAGCTTTCTTTTAATCTCTCTCTCCCCTGTCCCATGGACAATCTCAGCTTAAAATTTTTTCATGTCCATTGCACCCTTTTCAGGAAATGCGACTATGACTTGCAGGGGTCAGCCGAGGTGCAAGTTACTGTTTATATTCTTCTATTTTGGAACTATTAGGTTGTTCGAAAAGTCCTGCGACACTTTGATTGAATTGTTCTAGAAAAAGACCAAAAATCATTTTGGATGTTTTTATCCCTGATTAGTGGAGACTGTCCTCTGGGGTTTCTGCACATGGGTATATCATGACTTTGTGGAAGTTTTCAAAGCTTAAAAGTCCCTCAGAGATCGAGGTACTTTTCGACCTATCCCATATTATGAGTTCCTGTAGGGCCACTCCGCCGTAGTCGAGGAAGCTAACCTACGTTGTCTTGAGGAAGGATATCGCTTGCCATGGCAGAGGGTAGCTTTTGCATCAGCGCTTCAGGCTGGACTTATTTAACTCGTAGTTAGGCAATGTATAGGTCGCCCACCAGCACAGAATGACGGCCCTTTACTCAAGCTTCTTGAGGCGCAGCCGAAGGTAACCACCAGTAAGTTGGCAACCTCTCTAGGCTCCACCTGACTGACAACTGCCATGCTTCTCCGCAATCTCGGTTATCGGAAAAATTTTTTGTGAAGGATGCCTCATGAGTTGGACCCGTCTGACAAGTCATACCGAATGACCGTGACTGAGTTTTCTTTTCCTTGTACACAGCGAAAGAACTTTTGTGAGATCTTGTGGTTGGTAGCGAGTGTTGGAGTCCTTGCGTACATCATGC